CCCACGAGGACCCCGAAAACACCCCCACGATGTCTCCGAATGCCAATATAAAGACCCCCAAGGCACCCCAAAAACTTTTTTCCAAGGGGCCTTCAAAACACAAAAGTCGTCCCATTCGCTTTGTAAAACTTACAAGTTTAGCACATTCGCCTTCCGGAATTCATCAGCTTTCACGACGGTTTCAAAGCCCCCGAGATCGTCTCAAGACGCCCCAAAAGGTCCCCTAGAAAGCTTCAAGACGGCCGAGCCGGGCCCCACGAGAGCCCCAAGACAGCCCATAATGGAACCAAGAGGCCCCCCAAGGGCTCCCAGCAAAGACCCAAAAGGGCCATGGGAGGTCCCCTGAAGTGCCCAAGATGGCTCCAAAGGGGGCTCCAGCGGGCCCAAGCTCCCCAAGACGGCCCAAGAAGGCCCCAGGACGGCCCATGATGGCGCCAAAACGGCCCACGAGGGCCCCGAAAACACCCCCACGATGTTTCCGAATGCCAACATTCATCGACTTTGCTCCCATGACATTTCACATTGTGACCCAAGCGTTGAGGGTCTCGTGGCATGCAGCGAAGATGCCCGAGGATGCCCCGTACGAGTTGCATATGCATGATCATAGTTTTACACACATAAATGTGCATGTACAAATGTACGCTGTATACACACATACAACAATGTAAGTATGTTGTATACACCTAGACAGTTATACTGAACGTGCATGCACGTGCGCGTGTATACATGGATGTGCGCATGCACGCACGCACGCATTCCGCTTGCGTGCAGAACTCAAAGGACCAAGGTACATGGCGCGCAGCGCCAATGCAGACTTGCAGACAAAAACCATCGATTTGCCATAGGTTTTGAAATGCGGTTGGGGTTCTCGATTTTCGAGTTTCCGACGCTCCAAGACGTCCCAAGAGGCATCCAGGACCGCCCCAAGACGGCCCAGGAGGCCCCCAAGACTGACCCAAGACGGGCCAAGACGGTTTCAAGACGGCCCCAAGAGGGGCCCAAGAGGGCCCTAAGACGGCCCCAAGAGGGGCCCACGAGCAGGAGCCCGAAAGGACAATGCGAGCCTTCCGTCCCGATATGCCCCCAGACAGCCCAACCGGGCTCGCAGAGCGCTCCCAAGAGGGGCCCAAAAGGCAAAAAAACACTGATTTCCCAAGTTTTGCATTTTTTCTTGGGTCCTCGTCTTTTCCAGCTCCCAGCGCTCCACGACGCCAAGAGGCTTCCCAGACCAGCCCGAGACGGGCCCAGAGGCCCCCAAGAGTGCCCAAAGACGGCCCAAGGGGGCCCCAAGCGGCCCCAGAGGCGCACAAGACGGTCCCAAATGGGGCCCGAGCGCAGGAGCCTGAAACAATAATTCGAGCCTTCCGTCCCAAGATGCCCCTTGACGGCCCAAGCGGACTCGATGAGCGCTCCACAGAGGGCCCAAAGAGACAAAAACCGATGAGCGTCCTTCGGTTTTTATGTGCTTTCGTAGGTCTCGACTTTTCGCGCTTCTGGCGCTCCACGACGTCTCAAGAGGCCCCCAAGACCGACCGCCCCGAGACGGCCCAGAATGTCCCCAAGAAGGCGCCAAGACGGTCCAAGAGAACCCCAAGACGACTTTAGACGCGCCCAAGACGACCCAAAAGAGCTCCGAGACGGCCCCAAGAGAGTCCCAAATTAAACACAAGTTAAGCACAAACCGCTCCCTCGTAAAGTACGGCGTTGCGTTGAATGTGTGTTCAAGTTTGGGGGCTCTGAAGCCGCTCTGGGAGCTCCCTTGGCGCCCGTGTATGCCCTCTCAGGCTGTCCGAGCTCTGCTGGGGGCTTGTGGGAGTTTCATTTAGATTGCCTTTGCTCCAAGCCATCCAGGCCCTCCAGGCCCTGCTCCAGGCCCTCCACGAGGAGTTCCCCAGTTTGGCGCCCTGGGCCGATTGGGGCTATTCGCGCCCGTATTTCCTCCGCCTCGGCAAGCACAGGATCCGCTCGGAGTGCGGCGTCCAGCAAGGCGACCCTCTTGGACCTTTGCTTTTCGCACTCGCTCTCCAGCGGTGCGTCGAACACGTCCTTCGCGCCGCTCCCGACCCTGCCCGGTCCGCGCCCCCTGGCCAGGTCGACCTCAAGGTGTTTTTCCTGGACGACGGGGCCCCGGCGGGCGACTGGCGCGCCGCGGCGCACCTCCTCCACGAGCTGGTCACCGCCTTCGCCGCGATAGTGCTCAAGCTCAGCACTGGGGATGGGAAGTGCAAGGTAGTTCCGACTGGCGGCGCCGATCCCACAGTAGACTTTGACGCCTTCGCGCGGGGGTTCCGCCCCCGCACGGTCCGGAGCTTCGAGCTTCTCGGGGCGCCAGTGGGCGACGACGATTTTTGTTGCCAGCACACGGAGAACCAGGGCTCTGCGGCGCAGGAGCTCTTTGACGCGCTGGGGGCATTGGAAAACGCGCAGGTCGCCTTGCACCTCCTGCGCCAGCGTGCGTCGTTTTGCAAACTGGGCTACAGCGCGCGGGCGGCCCCGCCCACGGCGCACACGGCGGCCCTGCAGTCGCTGGAGGACGGGGTTGGGGTTTGCTTCGAGCAGGTGGCTGGTTGCTCGCTCAACGACGCGTCGCGGCGGCAGGCGCAACTCAAGGTGCTAAAGGGGTGCCTAGGCTTGCGCTCGGGCGAGCAGCGCGCGGCCTCGGCCTTCGTTGCCTCCCGGGCCGCCTGCTCCGCCCTCCGCGGGCAGCTCTACCCAAGCTACACCGACGCGGCGGGGCACGACGGGGGCGCGCTCGCGAATGCTGTGCAGGCCCACAACGCCCTCGTCTCGTACACGGACAGGGTGTTTTTCGACCCGGAGCAGCACGGCAGCCAGAAGAGACTCGGCGACGCCGTTGACGACGCGGCGCTCGCAAGCCTCCAGACTGGCGCCTCCGTTGCCACGCGGGCGCGCCTGAGCTTCCTCCAGGCACCTGGCGCTGGCGCTTTCCTCCCGGCGCCGCCCTGCGAAGCCGCCGGCACCGGCTTCCCGCGCGGCCTCTGCCAGGTAGCTGTCCAACGCAGGCTCCGCGTGCAGCTCCTGGACCACGAGGACTTCCGCCCCGCCTGCGGAGAAGCGATGGACGTCTGGCTAGACCACGCCGTTGCCTGCTCCTGCCGCGGCGACAGGACGAAGTGCCACAACGCGCTTCGAACCAGCGGTTCCTCGACGCGCAAGCAGCCAGCTTCGCGGGGGCGGAGCTGGAGCGGCCGGGCCCCGCCCCCGCCGCGCGCAGCCAACGAAGTGCCGCAAGGCGGCGAGCAGGGCGGCCCAGACTTGGACGCAGGCACCAGGCGCCCCGCGGACGTCCACCTGCCCAGGTGGCGCAACGGGGTGCCAGCGGCCCGGGGCTTCGCGGCCACTTCTGGCATGCGCGGCGACCTCCTCGGCGCGTCTGTCGCGCCCCCTAGCGCGGCCACGGAGAGGCGCGAGGAGTTCAAGCGGCAACGCTTGGACACCGAGCGCCAGCGCGCGGCGCAGGGCTTCACCTTCATACCCACGGTGGCGGAGGCCCACGGTGGCGGGCGGGGGCGCGAAGCCAGGAGAGCTTCTGCGATCTTGGCCAAGCGGGCAGCGGACGCCACCGGGGAGGAAGCTGCCGCATTGGCAAACCGACACGCCCAGCGACTCTCAGTCTCCCTGCATCGGGAGAACGCGCGGGCGGTGCTGCGACGGCTACGACGGTCGGCGCGGGCGCCCGCAGCGCGCCCCGCAGCGGCCACGGCGGCGGCTGCGGCTAACGCCATCTGAGTCGCGGTCGCCGTCGGCGCCGGCTGGCCCCCTGCCCCTCCCGCCCACCAACGACCCTTGACCCCCGATACCCCCGACGACCAACGGCGACCCCCAGCGCCGCGACGACCCACGGCGAACCCCCGCGACGTCCCACGACGAACCACGACGACCCTCGCTCCTTCCGCCCCACGCCCGCCCCCGTCGCGCGCGCTTGCCCTCTGCTGCTTTTGCTGTTTCCCCTCGCCTCCTGCATGGTTGTGTCTGCTCGTCGCGTTTATTACATATAGCGGCGCACCGGGTCCGGGGGCCCGGGGCCGGGACCTCGACCACAAATGTGGGCCCCGGGGGGCCCGGAGGCTCGTCGGACCGCCGGACGCCGTCCAAGATCGTTCGCAGGCGGCTTCGGAACGCGCTCCGATGGCTCCAGATGCCTTCCAAGACGCCTGTCATGACACCAAGAAGGTCCCAGAAGCCTCCAAGACGCTCCGAGAGGCAGCCCAAGAGAGGCCCAAGAAGCAAAAATCGTGCCATTCCTATGGGAAAACGTATATTTTCGCATGTTCGCCTCTTGGGCTTTCGCCGCGTCCAAGACGGCCCAAGAGGCGCCCAAGACCGCCCCAAGACGGCCCAAGAAGCTTCCAAGAGGGCCCCAGGACAGCCCAAGAGGGCCCCAAGACGGCCCAAGAGGCGCCCAAGATGGCCCAAGAGGGCCCCAAGACGGGCCCAAGAGGGGGCCCAGAGGGGGACCACGAACCGCAAGCTCGAGCCTTCCGCCCCAAGAGGCCGCCAGGAGGCCCCAAGGAGGCCCCTCAAGAGGCCCCAGGAGACCCCCAAGAGGCCCAAAGGAGGCCCCGAGAAGCCCCAAATCGGCCCCCAAAATGCTTCGAACCTGCTTCCAGGAGGCCCCCGACAGGTTCAGAGGCTCCCGAGAAGCTACGTCAAACTCCCAGCGAGCGGCCGGATGAGGCCCCCCACAAAATCACAAGAGGGTTCCAGCATTTGTATCCTTCAGCGCTCTCTGGCCTTCTTCCCCCTGCCTCCTTCCCTGCGACTTTCGTTGACTCAAGCTCGCCTCCTAGCTAGAACCTAAGCGCGCGCGAAGCGCGCGCGTGGTTCTAGTGTCCTATGTTTCCTGACCTTCTCCCCTCTCCCCCCTCCTCTCCCTCCTCCGGCGCTCGTGGCCCTTCGGGCCTGGCCGAAGAAGGCCCTTCCCGCTGACGGGGGCAACAGGGTCACGCCCCCTTGTGGGCCCACCCACCCGTCGGCAGGGCACGACGCCGCTGGCGCGCCGCATCGCCCGCCTGGGCGACGTCGCTGGGACCCGACGACGCTCCACTCAGTGCCTACAGCGTGGTGGCGGATCTGTTGCACGGAATTCGCTTATAGGTACCCGAACCACTTCAAACGACGGGGATTTGGGACCTTCGCATTGCCTCTTTAAGGCCAAGCAAATCTCCAGAGTCTGGAGGCCCCCGGAGGCCCCAGAAAAGCAAAACACGCCCCAGAACATGCAATCGTCCGATCACGTCCACAGACGACGACCACCACCACCACCACGACCACGACGATCATCGTGACGGCGGCAGCGGTTGCGGCGGCGGCGCCCGCGGGGGCGGCGGCGGCGGCGACATGGCGGCCCGGACCATCTGGGGTCCTCTTCGGCCACCGTGGCAGTCACGTCACTTGCGCAGTCCAGGAAACACTCGGAGCCCTTAGACGCGTCGCACGTCGATCTTGCACGGTTCCGCGACCGCCCACCGAACCCTAAGCTATATCCCAGAAGGCCCAGCACTTCCACGCGCCAAGGGCGGCTTTTGCCTGGGGAACCCTTCCTTTTGTTTTTTGGGGTTCTTCGGCGAGCGCAAAGTTTATCAACAACGATTGCGCAGTCGGGTAGAATCTAAGCGCGCGTAGCGCGTGCGTGATTCTAACATTCAGATATGGACGTATGGTAATACATGCGCATATAGACTCATGCATGCAAGCATTCATACATACCTACATACATACAGACATACATGCATGCATACATACATACATACATGCATACATACATACATAAATGCAGACATACAGACATACAGGTAAACATACATACACACATACACACATACATACATGTATACAAACATGTGTATATACACACACATTTATATATATATGTATATATATGCACAGATGTGGAGGACAGGGCCCAGGGGTCCCGTCCCAGGGACCTCAACGGGTGCCCCAAGACGGCCCCAACGGCGCACGAAAACGCTTAGGGTGGCCCAAAAAGCTTCTAAGAAGGCCCAGGAAAGCCCCAGGAGAGCCCCAAGACTGCCCATGAGGCTCCCAAGACTTGCCGAGAGCGCCCCAGGAGAACCTCCCAGCGGCCCTCCCAGAGCAAATACCGTTAGTTTGTGAATGTGGTTGTTGGAATGTTTTCAGGGATGCTCCTGCGTCGGCCACGCGACGGTACATGACGGCCCCAGGAGCCCCCATCTTGCTCCAAGGTTGCCGAAAAAGTGTCCTGGAGAGAGCCCACAAACAGTCAGCTGCCGAAACGGACCAAGACGCCCCCAAGACAGCCCAGAACTCTCCCAGACGACCTCACTACGAGTTCCAAGGCGCCCATCGACTGCCCCAACGGCGCTGGAAAATGCCAAAGGGGGCCCCAAGACGGTCCAAGAGGCCCCCAAGACGCCCCAAGAGCGCTCCAGAAAAAAAAACAAACGGCCCAAGAGGCCCCCGTAGACGCCCCAAGAGCGTTCCAGGAGAATCTCCCGGAGGGCTTCTGGAAGCAAAACGCATAGATTTTCTATTGTTCCCAATGTTTTCTGAGATGCCCCTGCTTCGGCCTGACGACGCTGCAGGCTGGCCCCAGAGGCTGGTCCCAGAGAGACCCGTATCACGATCCAAGACTGCCGAAAAGGATCCCGAAGAGCCCACGAACAGCCCAGCAGGCCGCCGAAACAGGCTCAGACGCGCCCAGGACAGCCCCCCAGACGACCCCACGACGGGCTCCCAGACGCCCGACGGCTGCCCCAAGAGCGCTCCAGGAGAGCCCCAAGACGGCCCAAGAGGCTCCCCGCTCGCCCCAAGAGCGCACCGCTGCCCGCGTTGTTATTCGGCTGCCGTTTCACGGAGCCCAGAGTGGCCAGCTTCAATTCTCTGCTCTCCGACAGGCAGTTCTTTAGGCTAGGAGTGTCCGCTGGGGCGTTGGAGCCAGTGAGCCAACAGGCCGCACTGAGTCCGTCAGTAGTAGCAGCAGCAGTAGCAGGACAAGCCCCGGCACAATGCATCCCGAGCCCGTATGTATACACGCGGTTTGCCCCGAGCCTGTATGTATACACATTTCGCTTCCCTCTGTAAAATTGGAGGTGTGGCCAGCACTCGCAGATGTATCCATGAGAGCAGCAGCCGCAGCATGCGTAACAGTTTGTAGGTAATGATGCGCACCCTCCCTTTGCATTCGCCCCTCTCGCCCCGTGTTCTTATTCTAGCTGTAGCGGGAGCAGTTTGCAAAAAGAGGTGAGGTAGGCATGGTATCTTATTTGGGGATTCGCCTCTGGGTACGCTCCACTTGACACCTCATGGCTGCAGGGTTTGTACAAACGTAGCCTCCCCCACCATCGGGGCCAGTCGGCCCTGAGGGGGGGGGGATCAAGCGAATGCCAGGTGACCCCTGGAGCACCGCTCCAAGGGTCACAAGCTGATATTTGACGTAAGAGAAGACAGATAGATGGACAGACAGACAGCCGAGAGGAAAAGAGGAGGAGGGAGAACGGAAGCTTCAAATGAACAGGAGGATGGGGGAGGGAGGAGGCAGGAATAAGCCAGCACCTCCTCCTCCTCCTCCTCCTCCCCCTCCTCCTCCTCCTCCTCCTCCTCCTCCTCCCTGATCCGCGGCCCCGGCACCACACCCATGTTGGGTCTGGTGCCTACCAGACCCAACCGCGCCAGCCAGCGGTCTGGGGCGCGCCACACGAAGGGGGCGTGCCCATCGGGAAGGTTTCTCTCAGCATTTGTTTGTCTTTTTCTTCCTCGTCCTTCTCGTCCCCCTCCTCCGCCTGTCTTTCCTCCTCCTCCTCCTTCTCCTCCTCTTTTTCCTATTCCTCCTCCGCCCCCATCCTTTGCCCTTATGAATAACTCCTCCCTGTCGCACCCCCAGATGTGACAGTAGGGCTGGCCAGGCGTTTCGCTTCAGACTTGTTTGCCATCTTCGCTCTTGAAGCTTGAGATTCTGCAACAGAGTCACGGATAGACGGCGGGTCCGTGTCAAAATGTGGTTCTCGCTGTAGCGCCGCACAGAATCGTCTTTAAAGTTCGCAGTTGTTTCAAGTATGGAAGGCGGGTGGTGTTAGAAATGTGGCTGTCACCGTACCGCCGCGCACGTTCGTTTCCAAAGCTTGCAACAGCTTCAAGGATGGAGGACGGGTGGATTTCAAAATGTGCTCTCGCCTTAGCACCGCGCACATTCGTGTTAAATGGTTGCAACAGTTTCACGGATGGAAGGCGGATGGTTTTCAAAACGCGGCTGTCGCCGCACATTCGTGCTAAAAGTTTGCAACTGCTTCACGGATGGAAGGCGGGTGGTTTTCAAAATGTGGTTGTCGCCTTGATACCGCACACATTCGCGTTGAAAGTTTGCAGCAGTTTCATGGAGCTGTGTGGTCTAAGTCCCGGGAAGGTGTTCTGTTCCCGCTTACGGCTGTCAGGGCGCGCCAGTAACGTTGGTTCTTGGCGCTGAAGTAGTGATTTGGCACGACTTCGGATTGTCAAGACGCGACAGTGACGTTGGGTTGCGGCGTTGCCGTCCCAAGGACGGCGTTTTGGAACAATTGGGGATTATCAGACGGCTGTCTTCTAATGGGTCACCTCCTGGAAATCATTTTTCAAGGACCTATGAAAATGGAATTTGGAGGGAAGGTCGATTGCAACATCGTCCATGCCTTGTGGGTTTACACTGGTCCTCCTCCCCCTCAATATCCTCCTCTTCCTGTGCCTCTCGCCTCCTCTCCCTCCTTTCTCCACGCACGATGTGCTGGTCAAATGCTCAAAATGCTCTCCTCCCCCTCATCCCCCTCCTACTCCTCCTCCTGCTCCTCCTCCTCCCCCTCATCCTCCTCCTTCTCCTCCTCCTCCTCCTCCGCCTCCTCCTTCTCTCTCCTCCTCAGGTCAGCGAGATGGACCGGAAGATGTGGAGCGTACCATACGTGGAGAGTTATTTACAAACAGAAGAGCAGGTACAATTACGATGGCACGTGCGGGAGTATTGACAGACCATGGACATCAGCCAGATCGCTAGAGACATCTCCGATATTTCGTGGAAGACCACATGGTGGCGACGACAAGCTGTATTTTCTGACCTTGAAGCGCCCCAAGGATGCGAGCGCGAAGTCTACATCGGTCATTGGAAGGACCGTCTGAGAGAGATCAAGGGTCGCAGTCGACAACATCTACGAAACCGAGCACCTAGCCGCAGACCATCACCTAAGCAAGCATGCGATATGCAACCAGACATCCTCGGGGTCAGTGGGTGAAGAACTGGATAGTGCCTTGCTGCACTGCGCAACCAACTTGTAAAGTTCACGAGCTATGATAAAGCTGGAAGGGAGTGCCGTATCATGTTGTTACGGCTCAAGTCTGTTCTCATGGTCGGTTGGCCCGCCCAGCTGCTCGCTACCAAGGCTGCCGACCTAGCGATAGTCTGGGGCCTCGGCTCGCGCCAGTGCCCACCGTGCCCCGACTGCACTGTCAACTGCCCGACGGTCACGTGTTCGACGCCGTCGATCAACATCACCTGCCCGACCTTCTCTTGCCCGTCTCTTGCCCCGCAGTCGGCCGAGGGTGCGGGCTGGTCAGGCGTCGTCTTCTTCGTCGCAGGCCTGCTGGTGGGCTTCGGAGTACTGACTTGCACGGGCCTCATAGGCCGCAGTGTTGGCTGGCTGTCTTCGTTCTGTACCAGACGCCCTGACGAGGAGGTCGTCGCGGACGACTCGTCCAAGCGTGACCTGGCATTGAGGCAGCTCGCCATCATCCGTCAGCGCAATGGTGGCACCAGGTGACGTGGTTCTGGTCAAGTACGACCTGCCTGGCCCACCGCTCTGGCACGAACGTCTCATCCTCACGGTGGGCGCGGCGCCAGGGCACTACGCGGTGCTGACGCCTGACGGCGACATTTTCGTTGAGGAACTTCGACCAGATAATGATGATATAGCAGAGTTTCGCGCTGCACCAGGACTGGGAGTACCGCCGCAGGACATCCCGCTGGCCAGCGTGTATCGGTTCCAAGCAGTGCCGACCGCAGCCGAGATGATCCAGCACGTGCGAGACGGAGCACTTCAGGCAGGCGTACCAGTCCCAGCAGCGCCTGTGGTGCCTGTCGTGGGCGCGCCTGGCGCAGCGCCTGGCGCCCGGCATCCGCCGCTGGGGCCTGCGGCTCCGCCCGCGGGGGCGTTGGTGGCCGTGCCTCCTCCGATGGGGGCCCACCTCGGCCCAGCCGCGCCGCCGCCCGTGGGTGCAGGCGGCGCGGCCGCCCCAGGTGCGGCTGCTGCGGCTGCGGCGGCACCAGGGCCCGCTGGCGCAGCGGCAGTGGCAGGATCGCCGCTCGTGTGGGTGGCGGCCGAGGACACTCAGGATATCTCAAAGGGGACTCAGATTCCGGCCCTTCCTGATGCCGCTGTGACGTGTGGCGACAGAGGCATCATCCCCTACGGCATCGGTCACTTGTTTGTGCAGCGTATGGCAGAGGCCGACATCTACAGGTACGTTCATGACGATCTCAGGGTGCTGCCCGTGGTCGTCGACGCGTCGGGTGAGCGTAAGGTCAGCTTCTCGGAGGCAGTCTCGGCCATGGACCCGACGCCCCCGAGGGGCGGTCTAGGCCTAGATGGGCCGCCCACCACGTTCTGGTTGCTGAAGCAGATTAGAGATGATGATGCGAGCCCGAACGCTCACCATGAGAGGTGGGTACGATCGTCACGCATTCCCGAGGGAGATCGCTCGGTGTACGAGCATCAGGTTCTTTGCAGGATCCTCGACGCTGCCGCCACCTACGACCAGCTGAACCTGCCAGCTATGAAGTGGGCCGAATTGGCATGCCGCCGCATGGCTCTGATAAAAGAGGCCCACAGGGCCGCACCGTCCAATCCAGACTATTCTGCTGGCGACGTCTTCATGGGCTGGGGACCTCAGTCGGCGGGAGGCGGCACGAATCCAGCGCTGGCGCAGTACGTGGCAAACCAGCTGAAGGACCAGGCGGCCATCGCGAAGGAGAGCAGAAAAGCCCGCGAGGAGCAGCAAGCCCGAGGACGTGGACGCGGCAGAGGCCGTGGCCGCGGCGGAGGCGGACTCGCTCCCGCGGGCGAGGAGGGATGAGCCCCCTCCCTCCTGGGCAGAGTGGCCGCCTCCCAGGAGATCTTCCAGGCCTGCGCGGCGGTGGCGTCTTACAGCAGCAGCTCCACCACGCTCGTGCACCACAAGAGCTCGGACCCTTCCATGCCCATCGACACGGCCAGGCGGTCGCGGGGGATCGACCTCGCGATCTTTTTCCCTTGCCTCCAGTTGATGCTAGGCGTGATGTGCCTGAGCAAGTTTTGGCTTCTGATCGAGCCCTCCAGCGCCGAGAGCGACGTGCCCTCGAAGCGACAACGGTGTGCAGTGCCCTCAATGAGTTGTACGGGGTCGGCTCCACGGACCTCGCTCCCAACCTGGCGCAGGAGGAGGCTCACCATCAGGTACTGAGCAAGCTAGCTTCTGTGCCTGGCAGCGGCAAACCTGTACCTTTTCCGCATGACGCCTTCCGTGAGGTCATGCGCACAGACCTCTCCTACGCTTCGGAGGAGGTTGCGAGTCGCGTCCGACCCTTTCGCACTGCCCCCGTGTCTCTTCCTCAGTCGGGCGCGAGGGCGCCCAGGCTCGAGGATGTCCTTGACCAGGAGGGGCGTCAGGTTTTAATCGAGGGGGTCGACCGCATGCTTAAGTCCCCACAGGAGTGGGGGGAAGTGATCGAGACCTCTCCTCACGTCACCCCCTACTTCGATGAGGTCTTGCGAGCTGATCAGATTGCATACGAAGGTTTTGTGAAAGACTTGTATCACGCGGGTATCGTTGAGTTTTCGTTTGAGGTCGAAGATCACATCACTCCATTCTTTGTCGATAAGAAGGGCGTTGCTCTGCGCATGGTGTTGGATTGTAGAAGTCCGAACCGCAGGTTCAGAGCGCCACCTCGGATGAGGATCGCAACGGGAGCTGTCCTCTCTCGTCTGCAGGTTCCACAAGGCCAAGTTTTGTACGGCGCTCTATCGGATGTCAGCATTTTTTTCTACTGGCTCGTGCTGCCGCACTGGCTCCGCAAGTACTTTGGCCTGCCAACAGTTAGTACTGCCAACGTCATATCGTGGGGCGCTCTTCCGGGACATGAGTCACTTGGGGATGGCCTTCCTGGTCGTGTTTATCCTGTCATGCGGGTCTGTCCTCAGGGCTGGTCCTGGGCTTTCTGGTTCGCACAACGGGCTCACTCACATCAGGTTCTACTGGGTACCCGACTCGGCTCAGACCGACTCCTCGAAGAAGATGCCCCAACTCCGGACTTGTCATGTAAGGTCCCCGTGGTCCTCCCCTACTGCGACAACTTGATAGTCATGGGCACAGACAAAGACTCCGTCAGTAATGTTAAGAGGTTGGCAGTCGAGCAGCTCAGACGTGTGGGCTTCCAGGTACACGAGGAGGTGGAGGTTACAACCTTTTTCGAGTCCCTGGGCTACCTGGTTGATGGAAAACGAGGGGGGGTCTTTCCGATCCCTCATCGGCTTGAGAAGGCCGTCGCAGCGTTCACCCATCTCAGGAGAAGGCCACACATCACGGGCTGGCAAATTAGTAAGGCTCTCGGATACGTCACGCCGATCTTCCTCCTCACCCGCTCCATGTTCTCATTGCCTAATGCCCTGTATCAGTTCATGCACGAGAACTGGAGCCGCAAGAGGCGTCTCTGGCATTCAGCCGCGCTGGAGTGTAAGTGGATATCTGTGTTGCTGCCGCTCGCTTGGGCGGACCTCAGGATGCCGTGGACTTCGCAGGTAAAAGCTACAGATGCCTCGCTGTCCGGGTACGCCGTGGGCAAGTCCCTCTGGAATGTCTCAGATGTGATGGAGGCAGGGGGTGCTCGAGAAAGGTTTCGATATCGCTGTGCCGTGCCGTCAGCCGCGCCGCGCCGTGCCGCTCTGGGGACCCTCGACCCGTTCCAGGACCTCGAGACGGTGAAGCCCATCGTCGACCGCTTCGAGCCCTCCCCCTACGAGCCCAACTACCTCTTCAAAGAGATCCCCGAGGGCCTCCTGCAGGACTCCATGTGGAAGACTAGCTACGCGGCGCCCTTTGTGTTCAAGGAGGGTATTGGGGATCTGGAGTCTCGTGCTACGGTCTCTGGCGTTAAGCATACTCTGAGGTCTTCAGGAGGTTTCCGCTCTCACCACCTGCATCTTGGAGACAATCTGGGCAATGTCTTGGGACAAGAGAAGGGCCGCATGAAGAACTTCACGCGTCTGGTCTGCTGTAGGAGACTCTGTGCTTTGGAGCTTGCCACTTCCGCTCGCATACACCATCGCTGGATACCCTCAGAGCGGAATCCCGTGGACAAGGGGTCTCGTTTGTGGGAGCACCTTAGGCTCAAACATGGTCAGGGGCCTTCTCCCTCAGGGAACGCAGCCTCTGCCGCGGCCTCAGGTGCGACTGAGCGACCAGCCGCCTTTCGTCCTCCTCCAGGACTGCCCCATCCCGTCCCATGTGCGAGCCCCTCGCCCTCGGGGTCGAGGCCTGCGGGCCGCGCAGGTGAGGCCGCCCGCTCGGGCTACGACGGCCTCAGCCGCGCGGCGAGCTCGCACGCTGGGGACGCAGGAGAAGCAGCGGCTCGCTCGGGGTGCGCCCAACAAGCACGCTCGGGCGCATCTCAGGCGCGAGATGGTCGGCTCGATCGGCATCCTTGCGTCACGCTCGCCAGAGACGCAGGTCGAGACGTTCCTGGAGGCGAACGCCGTCACGGAGCGGACACACGCCATGTACGTCAAGAGGGTCGCGGACTTCGAGAGCTGGGTCTCGGCCAGGGGCCTCAAGCTCACCTCCGCCAAGCTGGTGGACTGCGCGCTGGTGGACTACCTGAACCAGCTGTGGATCGACGGCGCGGACATCGGCGAGGCGACGGGCACCTACGCGGCCTGGGTCAAGCTTCGCCCCTCCTTCTCCAAGAAGGGCCCCGACAAGCTCGTGAGGACCAAAAAGGCGCTGCAGGGCTTCAACAGGCTGGACCCCGGCAGGACCAGGCCGCCTCTGCCGCTGGCGTTCGCAGCCCTCATAGCGGTGGAGCTCGTCGGCATGGGCCTCGGCGGCATGGCGCTGGCGGTGATGCTCATGTTCTCGGCATACTTGAGGCCGATCGAGCTCCTCTCGCTTCAGTTGTCGGACGTGCTCGTGCCGACCCAAGGCAGCCCTTACTACGCGATCCACCTTCACCGTGCGGAGCGAGGTCAGCCCAGCAAAGTTGGCCTATACGACGAGACGCTGCTGTTGGACTCGTCGGCGCTGCCGTTCCTCGGATACCTTCTGGACGCGCACCGGGCCGCGGCTGCAGGGCCAGCACTGTTCGACTTCGATTACCGGAGCTTCAACGAGAGTTTCAGGACAGCTGCAAGGACCGCAGGTCTGGCGGCCATCAAGCCCGACCTGTATCAACTTCGTCACGGCGGCCCCTCGCACGACATCCTCAACCGTCTTCGCTCGAAGGCAGAGGTGAAGGACAGAGGCCGCTGGAGGGACGATCGCTCAGTTCGACGATACGAGGCGCACGGCAGGCTGCAGCTCCAGGAGAAGCTGGTCTCAGAGGCGACACAGAGCCGCGCGGCAGCATGCCTGGCCGACCTCGAGGCTCAGCTCCGGTCAAGTATGCCGCAGTTCGCCCGTGCCGTGCCATCTTCCAAGGTCAGAAGATCGTCGAACTCTTCTCTGGTGAAGCTGGCTTCTCATGGGCTGTCGCAGCCCAGGGGATCGAAGCGGAAGCTTGGGATGTGATTGACGGTCCCGGCGCAGACATCTTGACGACCGCCAACAGACGCAGGCTTGTCAAGGACTTCAGGACAGGCAGGGCTGTGGCCCTGCTAGCTGCTCTCCCTTGTCAGACCTGGACCAGGGCCCGAAAAAATGACGGTCAGGGACCTGGACCCCTTCGGGACGATCAAGACCACCTCTGGGGCCTCCCAAATCTTTCCCAAAAGGATCACGACAGGGTCCAGCTAGGCAACAGGCTATGGGTCGTCACCTTCCGCATTATCTGTCAGCTGGCCTCCCTCGGGGTCCCTGTGGTGCTCGAGAACCCGTTCTCGTCCAGGATCTGGATTACCAAGCATGTCAGTTATCTCATACGCAAATTTGGGGCTCGTTTGCTCGAGGCGCATTATTGTCAGTACGGAACCCAGTGGAAAAAACCTACAGGCTTCCTGGTCATCAACTGCAACTCACTGTTTGATTTCAAAAGATGTTCTGGGACAGGGGGACGCTGCTCTGCTAGTGGACATAGGCATATACAGCTCATGGGTAAGGACGCCAACGGTAACTTCCGCACTAGAAGGGCTCAGGCCTATCCCGCCCCCCTCTGTAACTTTTTAGCACGCTCCCTGGTCGCTCATTTAACAAGTCAATATATGCTTAGCCTCGAACCTCATTTTTTCGCGCTAGATAAAGATAATTAGCACTTCGTAGGGCACACGTGTATGTGGGTATGGGAGCGATTGATTGCTCGAGTATTTCTCACGATCCCGTAACTCGTCGCCACTGGACTGCTGATGTGTACTGTCTGCCTCGTAGCGTGCCCAGGCGGAGAGCTCAGTAACATTGTGCACTGTGCTGCCAAAAGATCTCTTTTGTACATCTTGTGGCTTCGCCCATGCACGTCCTGGCACGGTATGTTGCGGGATCATTGTAAAGTTCACGAGCTATGATAAAGCTGGAAGGGAGTGCCGTATCATGTTGTTACGGCTCAAGTCTCCCGCCCACTGCCACCCTCAACCCTGTAGAGCAGGGTTGCTTCTCAGTTGTTTCACAACTCTCGCTAAAGCGGAACTAACCTCTCCGGCTGGGAGCGATTGATTGCTCGAGTATTTCTCACGATCCCGTAACCCGTCGCCACTGGACTGCTGATGTGCACTGTCTGCCTCGTAGCGTGCCCAGGCGGAGAGCTCAGTAACATTGTGCACTGTGCTGCCAAAAGATCTCTTTTGTACATCTTGTGGCTTCGCCCATGCACGTCCTGGCACGGTATGTTGCGGGATCATGGATATGGGATGTTCGCGGCGAACAGTTTCAAGACCCAGCAGTATGGCAGGATGGGCGCGTAGCCTGCCTCATAAAATATTCGGACCATCCTGGGAGGGAGGGCCTAGTCAGAATGCTCAGTTGTCGCTTCGGCCGATCAGTGAATGCTCAACTCATCGAGGAGATGTTAGCTCAGGTATGGGAGCGCACACGCCCTGAACGACAGCGGTTCGATGCTTTTCTGCGCAGTTGCATTGAAGACGAGTTGACCGTCATGGTGGATGGGCACTGGAAGAGACTGGGAGATATAATCAATGAGTTCCGAGTTTTTCTTCAGGACCAAGCTCCCGACGCACGCCGCCGACGGAGCCGACCTGATCAAGGAGAAGGAGTAAGGGAGAGTTGCTTCGACATACGTCGGCACTTCTCAACTTGCAGGGCCCGCAGGCACGCACTGCTCACCCCAGCAAGGGGCAGAGAGCACCGACCTGACGGGGAGTTGCCGACCCGATGTCAGAGGCGTGAAACAGTCGCCAATGGGTTTCAGTGATCTACCTGATGTCACAGACAGATCGGGGCAGATCGAGGAGACGAACAACGTAGGCTACTACGGCGCAGTTCACTGCGAACAGTAGCACCAGCAGCTGAACATGCCGCGCTCGCCTGGGCCTTCCTGCTCGCTCAGGGCCCTCATCACAATCTACAGGGACTATCAGCAGAAGGGAACGGGTGGAATCAGGGGTACGACCACCGACCTCAGGGCAATGTGAGTGGTTGGTGGCAGCGAATTGGCCTAGCACTCTTACGACGACCCGGAAAAAAGAACATGGTGTCCACGTGAGCAGATGTTTCCCCCACTTGGACAGAGAGTCACCCGCCAAAGCAGCACAGCCACTTGATATATGTCTTGGGGATGGCATAGCGGATAAACTGGCACAGCGTGGAGCAGAAGAAGCGTACCTCAACATCAAACGGGAGGTGCAGCAGCTTTCATACACGGAAAGACGACTTGCCAGAATTCAGAGGAGAGCGGCAGCCATCACTTTCGAGCTCTGGACGCGGCCAAGCACGAGAGGAAGCCACCAACGCCGAGCCACATTGTTCGAAAGCGACGTCGCCAGATGGAGGCAAAAACGGGGCACAACGTGATCAAGAAGAGGGGACAGTGGGCCTGCCAGGAGTGCTGGAAGTCGCCTGGCAAATACAGCGTCGTGGACTGGATGACAGCGGATGTGTATATTGGAAGGCAGTATGAGACGCATCGAGCCGACCATGGACACGAAGTACCAGTTCCGAACAACTAGATGATAGAGGTGCACGACAGGGTGATCCAGATCCACTCCAACCACCATATTGCGGTCGTTCATGGTCAGTTCTGGTATTGGAAAAGCGCGCTGGCGGCCTCGTATAACAGTGACGGACGAGGGCGGCACGCGAAGCTGGCAGATGTTTGCAGATACTGTATCATACCCAGCAGGGAAACAGTGTTGAAAAGGCTGCGACTGGGGCTACCACCAAAGGCTGGACAGTGCTGGCCCGACCACACGATCCCATCGAATGGCGGCCTGATCCCACGAGTTGCAGCTGGGCAACGACGATCAGAGCGTCGCCGACGAAGTTGAGTTCATGGCAAGGGGGGCGGGCGCAGGCCATGAGCCTCATGCCAGGGTGGCGGCCTCAGGGCATGGCCCACACCACCCCCAGAGAGATTCTGCCCTGGAGTGGTGGTGAGAGGAGGCAGCAGCTGCTGCTGTACTCGCGCCCTCTGGAATGCACCAATGTGACGGTGTTCGGCGGAGCGCGCCCGAGGGCGCGCACGTGGGCCCGCCGCGGCCGCGTCGACGGCGGACGCCCCTTGATCCTCGATCCTCGTCCTCCTCCTCCTCCTCCTCCTCCTCCTCCTCCCCTCCCCTCCTCCCCCTCCTCCTCCTCCTCCTCCTCCTCCTCCTCCTCCTCCTCCTCCTCCTCCTTCTCCTCCTCCTCCTCCTTCTCCTTTTCCTTCTCCTCATCCCCATTCTCATCCTCATCCTCATCCTCATCCTCATCCTCCTCCCAATCTGGCCTAGCCGCCGCTGAAGACTCCAGCGGACGGCGCTGCAAGGGGGGGAGAGGTCGACACTATGTTCTGCTGTGCTCCAACGCGCGCCGATCTCGAAAGAACGAAAATGGATCGGCATCGCTTCGACAAGTCGCCTCGCACTTTCTTCGACGCGCGGCCCTACATCTTGGAGAGGGCGCTTCGACCACCAGGGCAAACTCCGCTTCGGACGCAAGGTTTGCAGCGAGGTCTGCCGCAGTGTCGGCGTCGTCCTCTCGGGCGCGTCGGGAGCAGACGGCGCGGCAACATATGGGCGTTGTCCCACTTGGGCCCAGAGGACTACATGCGGCAGCTGCCGCTGCCGAAGGACATCAAGCTCGGCGCCAAGCCGAGCCCTGCGCCAGCGCCGGCACCCCCCGCGGAGCAGGCCGGCGCCCTAGCGGCAGCCGCGGCCCTGGCCTGACCTTGCCAGAGAGGTCCGCGCCCCCTCCGCGCCAGGGCTGTGGCGAGGCCCCCCCTTCGCCACGGGGGGGGGCCCTCCTCCGAGTAATGCTTCCCTTGTTGGGGCCATCTTAGGCCGTGACGATTGCACTACGCGCCGTCACGCTGTTCCCGGGCAGGCGTTGCTGCCCGGCGAAGGACGAACGCGCAGGCGGGAGGCCGGGGCTGGCGGGGCGGGCGGGCAAGTGGCAGGGGGGGTGGGCGGAGACAACAGGCAGGGAGCAAAAGGAAAGGGGAGAAGGCAAGTAAGGGGAGGAGAGAGGAAGCAGCCGCAAGCTGACAAGGCAGGGAGCTCGCTGACGGCACCAGCCAGTAAATTGTAATGTGGCCTATCTCCCTCGAGTTTTACGCCTGGCTTTTTTGTCGGCAGCGCTGGCGATCGCAGGCGTGTCTGGGCAAAGCCGGCGGGCCGTGCCAGGCACGGGGGGCACTGGAGCGGGGGAGCAAACCACCAAAAGACGCAGGGCTCCACGCTGAGACATCCAATGTGCCCCTGGAGCCGACTGGGGGGCCCTGCCCCCAGGAGGAGCCACGCGGGTCGGGCCTGAGCAGATCTCAGCCGAGGGGCTCTCCGACGGGTGCGCTGGCAGGGAGGGGGGGGGGGAGGGGGCACGCCGTTGCGGGCAATCTTTCTATCGATATCCACGACATCTCGGGTTGCGGGGAAGGGATTCCCAATACTCGAGACGCAGTGGGCACGAATAAAAGTCTGGCCTCGCTGGAGGCCAGAGTCTTACCCATACCCACTGCGCCTCGGGCTTCTGTGGAAGGGAGCCCGAAAAGCTGAGACGCGGTTGCAACGCATCGGCTGGCCGGCTCCGTCGAGCCCTCGCGTCACCGTCGCCGCGGGGCCCGTCTGTGAAGGGGGCGGGGACCCAGACATCCAGCCGCTCCCATGTTGCTCGATGCGAAGGCCCCGGAGGTCCGGACCACTTCCCAGGAGCTAACTTTTCGTCCTGAGTCTTCTCCTGACGGCCCCGAGGCCCGGCGAGAGCCCTCGGAGGCTGGAAACGGCCAAAACCGGGTCGCTCCATATTTTTTCCGGAGTGTCAGATCTCCGGGAAGGGGGCGGGGATGTCCCGTGGGCTTGGGATTAAGTCGGGCACGTCCCTTTACAAACGAAATATACAAACATAGCTCTAAAAAATAAACTCTGGGGACGATGTGTCGAATCTGTCTGTGCCATGCCTGAATACTTTTGGACCATGCTTGGTTTTTAGTCCGACGTCCGCCTGTAGGGGGACGTGCCCGACCTGAGCTTGGGAGGCCGCTGCCTTCGATCGGCGGCGCGGCGGCGCCCCGGCGCGCCGAGGTCCCCGAGGTCCCCGGCGGCACCCTGCCGCCCGGCGGGGCCCCGGGAGGAGCGCAGGCCCCGGGCGTCCCCGAGCACTCCGCGGAGGGGAAGGACAGCGGCCAGGCGCAAGAGTGGCGTTTCGCCGGAGTGACCTCTGGTGCCCAGAGAGCCAGCGCATTCAGGAAGTCGAGACGGAGGTTGTTCTCAATCTTCGGCATCCAGGGGCCCTCGCCGGGGCCCGGGACTGTCGAAAGACGACTCTGGAAGAGAAGCCGGTCTTGGGTCCTGGAGAAGAGGCCGAGACTTCTGAGGGGTCCATATTGAAAAAAAACGACGTCAGATCTCTGGGTGCGTGTTCAATGGGGCCCCCCGATCGCTGAACGCGATGCGATAGCAGCGGCTTGCGCGCCTGGTGGTGTCCCCCAAGGGGCCCCCCCTTGGCCGCGCACCAGAGGTCACTCTTGCCTAGGGTCACTCTTGCGTTTAGCCGAGGAGGTCGCGCAGAGTGCTCGGGAGCCTGAGGATACAGGCCGACAGTGCGTGCCCCGTGTGGTCGGGGTGACGCTCCCCGAGCCTGTTGGCCCAACCACATTCATCTTGGGCCAGCCCATTTTCCATCGTTACTACACCGTCTTCAACTTTGAGGGGCCCATGGTAGGCTTCGGCTTAGCAGCGCCGCGGATGCTGGAGCAAGAGCACACAAGCACCCCTCGACATGACGAGACCGTGCTGATGTGAGCAGTGCAAATTAAAAAGGATGTCGTGCGGAATTATCATTCACCGCCCATCTCCCGATAACGGTTTCATTTAATGTGGCGGTCCGTTCGGCATGTGGTTTTCACTTTGGAACAACAAACACGAGCGTGGTGTCCATGAGTATTATTGATGTTATATTCATGAGTGTTCAAAGCTGTCGGTGTTGCATTGTGTTCCAGGGATGTGTTGTCTGATGGGATGTCCTTGAAGTAATTAGTGTATGTGGAATGTTCTACATTGTTATTGTCGCACATGTGTCATGCGAACATGTTCGGTTGTCTCGGTATGCTGTTATTGATTTCCGTATGGGGTCCAGCCGTAGTTTGTTACCAGGTTTGTGTATAAGATGGCAGATATTGACATGCCAAAATATGTTATTATGTGATAGGAACATCGTGTGAGGAAGTGGCCTGTTGGGAAGTCCAGGCTGCCACGCACCTTCCGCCAGCTTCCACAGTCTAACACGTCGATAATATATAGGCTCTAACCATCAGACGCGAATAGGGATTACGGCCTTATCCTGGGTGGAGTAGTCTTCATCAAAGGAACAAGCCCGCCGTAATCGTCATATGCATCCGATGACTGTTTGTGTCGGGACCTCGCTTTGAACAGAGCATTTGTTGTTCATTCTTCCTGACTTCTCCTCGCACCTCCCTTCTTTCCTCGTCCCCCCTCCGCGTCTCTCTGTGCACCACCAGGCGTGCAAAGCGTCGCTGCTCTGCTGCGCCACTGGGGCGGTCGAGCGGAGTGGCGTCCCGCGCAGTTCCAAAGTAGACCTCGCCCCCTCCCCCCCGAGTGTTGCCATG